TTTGTTTTCCTCGATAACGAAACGATGAAGTAGGAGAATCATTATTTATGTTATCCGATAATCCATTAATTTTTATAGGAAACATTAAGCCCATTAGAATAACCACTAATCGCTATTCAACGAGCAATCAAACGAATCGTTGTCGATGTTTACATCCGATGAAAATACACTTGTTGAGATGTAATAAGCCGCATCGGAAGGTACTTTTTTACGATTTAATTATGATAGAAAACAATCATAGTATGAGGGAAAATAGCCATTAACTAAAATAAAATATTAAAAATAATGTGATAAAAGAATCGTATACAGTTTTCCAGTTCATTTTAAACTTTACCAGAAGACACTAAGGTTTAAAATCAGAATAGTAACCATTATCACTTTTTTCACTACCTCGTCAAAATTTGGATATCGCATGTTACTCGTATATGATTTTTGAAATAAGAGTACAAGTCACTTGGAAAGCGTGTACATAGAAAATTTAAAAGTTACCCATAAGTATGTATTGTTCACTGACTTAATTCCGTCTATGTTTTTCTTTCGAGAGCAAAACATGTCCTAAAAGGTTTTTGGGTAAATACCATAAATTATTACACTTAACTATGTACTTACAATTTTACGATTTATTTTATAGTTTACTTAAGACGACATAACTAGTGATCCGCCCAGGTTTTGGTCTCGTGCGATTTATCAGTAAGCCTTCAATTGGCCCATGTGATGTTCCGACAACATAAACGATCCTCATCATAATTCAAACAATGAAGAAATACATATTTAAAAAAAAACATTAGTTCCCGAAATCTAACTAGATGTCGCTACGGTACTTTCTTGATTTCTCCATGACAATCATTCCGATTTTCTTTCACGTATAAAAGTAAATTAATTTTCAAATCTTAATTTACAACTTATATTCTATTTATATTGATATCTATGTTCCGAACTTTGCAAATTTCAATATTTTGGTTAGTTAGTTAAAAGGAACGGGAATGACTATCTTTGATCCATTCGTTTCCCGCAAATATCAACTTTTGCTAGTCGTCATCTAGTGAGGTACTTTTTCGGACTTTCTTTTTTTTTCTTAAAATACGTCCTCATTAACACAAAACTTAATAAATTGCCTACCAAATACTTCCGAATTCATTCGCCTGTATTGAAAAAAAAACGAAATCTAAATCCATTTCGTCCTTTTTAACGTGTCGTGTTAAATTATATCAAATATAAACATAGGATATTATATATAAACACAGCAAAAAAATAAAATTACTCCTATGACGATTTCATTCCTATACTATACCGATTCCATTATATGGTTGATTGATTAAAATTAGATGAGAAAGAGACTCGCACACGATGATTAATTGTATAAAATGTAAATATCATGGCGTACGCTATTATCAATGCTTAATGGTTCAAATTGAATCATGTGATTGGTCAGTTTTAACGTGTATTTACAATTACAGTTTATTACTGCTACCTACGTGTTAGGTTCGGCAATTAATAAAAAAAAGATAGATAGTGATAGTGAATTTAAAAATACGCGAAAGTTTATTTCCAATTAATTACTCGCAAGCTTTCACTATATTGTAAAATTGTTTCATATAGTCCTTTGCTACAAAGTGATTCACATATTTAATAATTTTATCTATAAAAAGAGTATATGAGGAAACAAAAATGGGAAATATTATAAGGGTAACTTTGTGTTTTTTTTTTAAGAACTTAATAATCACGTATTGAGTATGATACAATCCTTAAAAATATTTTAGAGTTTTCTGATTTTTTATTGCAGCTTACTAGGACGTTATTTTTTGGTGCTAAATCAATTGAAAGATTTGTTTTGTTTGGTGATTATTGTAATACGTAATTGTTGATCTCTAAAGTCTCGTACTGGATTCTCGGTCGGGTCAATGTAGAAAATGAATTCTTCTATTTTGCTTCAGGTCTGGGTGTTGTGATACCTTTATAATTTGAAATCGCCATAGCACAATTGCTTTAAGTATTTGAAATCTGATCAATGTTACTTAAATTAGTCTATATGAAAGATTTTGCATTTATATTGTTTCATTTATCTAAAGGGGTTTCTAATCGGCCAATATTTTTCTACAATCTGTAGCTGTAACACAGATGCCCGGCAACATTATCTACAAGAAATTTCAGCCGGTTTTTCCATATTGCAGTTACATCCTAGCCATTATATTAAATATATGTATACATAGTATATTATAGCCAAACATTTTTGGTGTGGCCGCTTTCGTTTTAAAAGTTTAATCATTGCCATTAGACAATAATTTGCTGATAGTGTAGCCACTTATTGGAGAAAAATATTGTCAAAAAATAGAGTCAATGAGCTCGTTTATATAATACTTGAAACATTCACCGATTTAGGTGCCCCAGGTAATAAATATGTTTCTTGTATACATTTTTTTCTTTGTACACGTCAAATTAAAATATTTTTGCTTTAGGTATTCTCTTAAGTGGCCTATTAACCTTTCCTGAGAATTGAGTGCCTATACAAAATGCGTGAAGGATTTTTCCAATTCTATTAGTAGTCCATTAGCGAGTTCAAAGGATCCTCTTCAATTTTTAACCGACTTCAAAATAGAAAAGGAGGACGTTCTATGTTCTACTGGCATATATATTTATGTATGTTCACCAATTTCTCCGTGAATCATAAACAGACTTTAAAATTTTGTAGTAGTTCCAAATTTTTTTATAATTCTTCCAAACAAATTCACGCATTTTGTTTTACTTTGACTACAATCGACTCTGCTGCCCGTCTGTTTGTCACCAGGATCACATGAACCGTGATTGGAAGATAGTTGAAATTTTCACAGATATTTCTGTTGTTTCTATAGCTACAAATATTAAATACAATAAAATTGACATTTAACTCCCATGCAACGAAAGTATTTATTTTTGTGCATTTTATAAATGGATGGTACGGAATCCGAAGTACGCGAGTCCGACCAGTGCCTGACCAGTTTTTTTCTATATTTACAAAGTACATACGTATGTAATGAATGACACATCAATTGAATATCGATTTAGGGTCATCGTTATAAGGATAAGGTCGTTGCTACCAAAAGACTCTAGTATACATGAAGTCTTTATTGTTATCGGTATTAGTCGACTTGAGTGCAGACCAGGAACCTTCCTATGAATTATTAAACGAGCTTCTACGTATAGACCATCCCTCCCGGACCAATACAGTAGAATCCTTTAGCTTAGTCTTTGCAATTCAAGCATAGAAATACAATTTCATTAGTTTTGACTGATGACATATAATAATATTTTAAATATCTGCCTGATTGTCGTTTCGTAGGTTGCAATTTTTTTTTCTGTTTTTGTTATATATGAGTAAAAATGAAAATTAAATTGTTATATATAAGTTCTTGTATATAAGTTGTAAAATATTATAGTATTTGAGTATGTAGACATACTTAAGTGAATTCTTATAATGTTTGCAAGAATTGAGTCTGTATCATTTTGAGAAGATTTCGACCATAGAAACCATAAGTGCTCTATTTGATAAAGTCAAAAATGTTCTATTAAAATGCACACATTGCACTTGATATTTACATTACTGAGCAACCATAAATTTTGTTTGTTTTACCGAGGTGAAGCAAAATACACCAAATTTTAAGGCATACTTTGTACAATAGTGGGGCAGTTCAGTGAGCAAAAGTAGAATTTATTTTTATAGGTAGATTAAGAAGTATGTGAAAACATATTTTGAAAATTAAAATAAAAAGAATATGATGTGAAACACGCATATATAGGACAATGACAGAATGACTTTCTTTAACCCTTTACCGCATATGGGCCCATATATGGTATTGAAGTTTTAATTAATTTTTATTTCCAAACTAAGTATTATAAAACAATTCAAACTATTTTAATTCATTAAATATATATTTAGCAATAATAAAACGCAAAAATATTGTCTATGGTTTGATGACATTTCGAAATAACCTCACTTTTAAGCAAGTGGGCGAAAAAGCAGAATCGAAGTGCGAGTTGTTCATTTTCAAAAAACTATAACAGAGTAATACGTAAGTACTTTTTGATAAAAAAAATATTTTCATGGAGTCGATATATTCATCTTTCTCGACGAATGATAATTTTTCTGCTTTTCAATTGTTTTTTATACTTTACAGCTAGTTTTTTTCGATTCCATATTTGGTCTCGTATGCACTAAGACATTTTTTTGCTAGGACAAATATGGAATCGCATGCGCTCAAGCAAATTAGCATTTAAAGTTTTATTTATTTATAACAGCTAAAATTTTATACATATTACACATTTTTATACATATTTATTTATTTATTATGCTTTGCTTGCTTCAAAAATTTGCCTTTTCTCTTGCTTGGCAGAATGGACCCAGCGCGTTTTTACGGAAAAAACCTTCATACTAATTTGATTCCTGGTGATGGCATGCTAAGTGATGATGATGATTTAGATTTCGAAAGCGATGTTCCCTCAATGCCTGTCCCATTCAGATCAAATCTTGGAACACCTACATCTAAAAAGACGAGAAAAATCCCAGAAAAACATCAAGAGCTTACCCTAAACTCTGTAAGGACGGACAGTATAGGTCATTGGCCTGAATGGCAGAAGAATCGTCAGCATTGTCAAGTATGCTCAATGAAAACTTATACCAAATGCTCCAAGTGTAAAGTTTTTTATGCTATGATGAAAAAAGAAACTGTTTCTTTCAATTTCACTTATAATTAATATAATTATATTGTTATTATTTTTTCAATATTCTATAAATTCTTTGTTTTGCTGCATACAATACCATATGTGTCTGTAATGGTTTTTGTCTCAATGCATACGAGCCCATATATGGTTCCGTAAAAAAAAATCCAAAATATAAAACTTTTTCAAAATTTCTTTCTCGATATGTCTTATTGATGATTAAATAAAGCTATTTCCACACTGAAATATTTTTAATTTCATCGCTATAATAAATCATGCAGTAAAGGGTTAATTTTATTTCACCTTACCTTCTGATACAGGAACGGTCTAGTGAGCGCCAGGTACCGTTCTAAGGCCATAGTGACAGCTATGCAGACGCTGCCGATGCCGAACACCCTGAGTACGACTCTGGCGGCGCAGTAGAGTTGCGTGTTCTTCGCTCCAGGGACATGTTCGGCTACAACCATCGCGCACATCATGCCAACCTTAAAACAAAAGCCGAGTTATATTTAAGGTTATGTACACATGGGACATCTGTACATTTTTAATCAATTCAGCAGTGCAATTCTGCGTAAAAATCAGCGTTGAACATGACATCGAGCGCTATCACAGCAAGAAGGTTCAATAAGAAAAAACTACTTCAAAAGGTTTATAAAGGATTTATTTCATCGAAGCTCTATGTTATGACAGTGTAATGCTCAACGTAGAGTTCGAGACTGATCACAGAAAACCAAAGCAGATATTATGGAAGCAATCCCATTTTCATTTAGTGACACAAATAAATATTGAATGTTTAATTTATAGATGACCCCATTCTGGTAAAGTGCGAGAAGCCCAGACACCTGTCATTAAACAAACACTTGCTTTTCGGTGTACAAGATTTCAAATCCCAGGGTATTTGGAAAACGAATGATTGAATTTCACTAGGTGCAGTCTCACCTTCCTCTCTTCCTTATCGGCGGCTACCAATAGCGTACGTCTAAAAAAATCGGGATTTTTTAAGGACACTGGGGCAAACAACTGAAAAACGAGACGTTTCTTCGCGTTATGTTATCCAATAGTTTTGGTTTCAAAATAACAATTAACCTCCCGTCTGCCATCTTAGCATCCGTTATTTGTCGGCGCTAGCTTTTTTAATCTTGCTATTTGTTTAATCTAAACACAACGAACCTTTTTTCTAATAATAATAATATTCTGTGTTGTTAACGACGGTTTGGCCAGCCTCTTAGATAACCGTTTATTTTTTTTTCACATTTAATATTATCTGAATCTAATATTGTTGTGATCACGAAAGTGCTTTAAAGCAATCTTTTTCCACCTATTTTATCTGTATATTAGCTATACAACCCACGCTTACGCTACCTATAACACATATAATTATTTTTGTTTAACAGCGTATTATTTTACCGGTCACGTCTCCACTAAATTGATATACCCTCTGGTTCCGTTGATTGGTAACAAAGTCAGCGGGATAAATTAAAACAAATATACTTCCCGTTGTCATTTTATCAATAGTAACTGAGCGGTAGCAATAACGAAGTGCATTGGGAAGTACATAATAATCGTAAACATCGTCAAGCTATTTGTCTTTAGATTACAAATTGTCGTATGTTTGGGTTAAATAACATAAATTATATTTCTAACAAGATTATATATATTATACTTACGATGCAAACGAAATTACAGTGACATAAACACATTGCACGATATGTTCCTCCGATTTTAATGTTCCTTATGTTTTACATGTGTAACACAATACTTCCAATTTTCAATTAAATTACGTGAGGTTTCTTTCTACACTCAATAAATTACAAAATCAGCACGTTTCGTTTTTCGTCTTTAGTCGCTTGTGAGGAGCTCAATGAATGGTTAAAGCGTTCGACCCACAATGGGGTAGCTAAGCATTTCTCGGAAGGGTCAATCATAAGCTGGGTGACATAAAATTCATTATCTCGAGCACAGAACAGATAAGTTCCGTGCTTCAGAAGGTACATTAAGCCATCGGTTTCGGCTGCATTTGTAGACGTTAACATCCACCAATCTACACTTGGCCTGCGTGATGACTCTTGTCCCGCTCCATATTCGATTCCATTCCAACCATATAGAAGGCTTGTGCTCTAGCAGTGAGGACACTATTAAGATGATAATGTTAATTGTGAATCTTTTTTAATCGACTTGAAAATCCAAAAGGAGGTTATATATTCGACGGCGATGTATGATTTCTTAATACATTGGACTGAAGCAGAGGTTCTTATCTTATTTTTATACAATGTACTAAAACATATTATTTCGACTTTCACTTATTAATATCCTATTCCTTTCTACGCGTAGATATATAGGCAAAGAACAACAAGATGCAAACAAATGTCATAAAATCAGCAAAGCTCTTAAGATACCGTACATGAACTAAAACTGATTAAAAATAAAGCTTTGACTATTTACGCGAGTCACCGAGAAAATAACGGAGCTCCTTTTAAAACAAAGGTTATCTTGATAAATCGGGGGTCATTGTAACTGCGAATCATAAACTACTGAAATAGACTAGCATTTATGGACGGTACTCGTGGGTAGGTGCTATATATAATTTTCTAACTACATATGGGATCAGCTATGCTAATACGAGCTTTATATGTCTAAATATTTTGATCTCAATCCAATTTCAATAGAACAATAAATCAAATTATAATATTATTCATTCAAATCTCTTTTATCTTCAATACCATAGTGATCTTTTTAGAATGTCTTTTGGCAAAGAATTTACGCAATAAATTTATCCGTTCATAACCTTACTGACATTCTACTTCTTCACGCTACTGAACAGATTTTGATGATATTTGGCATACGAATAATGCTAAGCCTATATTAACATATAGGCTACATTTTTTCCCACTAAATAAGTAGTTCCTTAGGAATCGCGCGGGCAAAGCCGCTGGTGGAAAGCTAGTATTTACGCAAAAAGATCTTTATTCAAACCAAAACATAACATTTTCTTATATATATAAATTAATAATGTTGCATTTTTGGTTACAAATTAGCACCTAAATTATTGTGAGCCCCTGACTCCCAAACTAGAATTAAATCTGTTTTTTGGAAGTCAGTGATTCCTCTTATCTCAATGAACATTTTACAACCATTGTTTATATATATATCGGTATCGGTAGAACTTTTGTGTGTAAACCTATGCGTGAGTGTGTGTGTGTGTGTGCGTGTGTGTGTGTGTGTGTGTGTGTGTGTGTGTGTGTGTGTGTGTGTGTGTGTGTGTGTGTGTGTGTGTGTGTGTGTGTGTGTGTGTGTGTGCGTGTTGCCTGTGTCGTATTTGTGTGCGTATATATATTCTATTTGGTTTGCCTACTTTAACATGTCCTCTGTTTCGTGATAGTTAAATGACAATAACAAATTTTCGATAATGGTTTTCACAGTGAGCTTTGTATGCGAAAGTATTGGTTTAATTTTATTCACTCTATTGTACAGTTTTAAACTTAGCGCGTTGTATTGCTGTTTCGCCCACGAAGTCCGACATTTTATTTGATGACAAACAGGAGCTCCCGACCTCCTCATTGTTATTTTATGATCAAAAGGTATTGATGAATGTTTACGTAAAAGAATACGAAGTATCGACAGCTGCCTCACTGTAAGCACTTTACATTCATGAAATAATTTTTCCGTAGAGTATGTTCTTGGCTTACGCAATAAGACCTTAAGTACAGCCCTCTGAGCTCGTTCCAATCTCAAAAGGCTTGTTTTATTTGCCCCACCCCAAACCGAAATGCAATATGCTATTACTGACTGACCCAGACCCTTATAGATTATAAAAAGAGTGTTTTGATCAACTGAACTGCACAGTCTCTTGAAGACATAAATCAACCTACGAACCTTTGCTGTGAGAATCTGAATTTGTACATGCCAGTCGAGTTTGTCATCAACGTACACTCCCAAATATTTGACACTATTCACAACTTTTAAAGGTTTGCTACTACATACACACGGATCTTTGTCATGACAGTGATGAATTTTAATGTCATCATTAGGTAGATCTTTAAGGTGCTTCTTGGAGATGTCAAATCGAATAACTTGCGTTTTATCTTGGTTTAAGGTAAGAAGATTCTCGTCTAACCAGATCTTGATTTTTGCAAGTGCGCTCTCTGCATTTGCCTTTGCGGAGATCCAACTATCACCATAGACTAATAGTGCAGTATCATCAGCATACGTAAAAATGTCGCATTTCTCAAGAGACATGCGACACAGCTGGTCAATATATATTAAAAAGAGAGTGGGACCTAGTACCTTGAGAGAGAGAGAAAGAGAGTGCTACCTTGGGGAACGCCATAACATATTAATTTTTCATCACTAAATAAAGATCCTATTTTTACATTTTGTGTTCGGTCTGTCAGGTAACTTGTGAACATATCTAATGTAAGGCCCCGTATACCTACCCTTTCAAGCTTGGCCAGAAGAATAGGCACAGAGACGGTATCAAAGGCCTTGGAGAGATCCAGGAAGACACCGTAACATTTTAACTTTTCCTCTATTTTTGAGACAACCGTACCGACAAGGTTAGAAACGGCGTCCTCCGTAGAAATACCACTACGAAAGCCATATTGGTTGTCAGACAGTATTTTTAATTTTGTCAAATATTGCACAAGTGAAGCATTAAGATATCTCTCCAGAAGTTTCGAGAAAGCAGTCAAAACGGAAATGGGCCTGTAATTAGAAAGGACATCCACGTCGCCCCCTTTATGAATTGGTGACACAACAGCTCTTTTAAAGGCACCCGGAAACACTCCCCTCTCTGACAGTACTAAATAAATGGAATAAATATAATTGCTTAAGATACTATTAAACTGCCTAGTCTTTGCGTTATAGATATGCGGAGGTACCATATCATCCAGCCATATAGAAATGTTTCCTTTTCTACTTCGAGACAAGCGGGGGATCGAAACAGAGAACCGCAGAGATGGCGGAAATATGAAAGGCAGGAATAATACAATAAATCATATTAATGTCCTACTATATATATATATATATATATATATATATATGTATATATATATATATATGTATATATATATATATATATATATATATATATATATATATATATATATATATATATATATATATATATATATGTATGTATATATATATATATATATATATATATATATATATATATATATATATGTATTGATAAAAACAAATAAAATTAAAGGTGCAGTCGGGATTAACGGTCTTCCGAAGCACGGAGCAGCTCGAGATAGTAAATTTTCGGCCATCCATTCTAACCTATACGCTATTGAGGTTCTCAATAATTGAATTTTCCAGATTAATCTAGTGCCTACATACAAGTAGATAATGTTTGTATGTATGATTAATTACAAAGACCATGTTTTTCGTGATAACAAAAATAATGAGTCTTACTTCAGATAGGTAATCCTTATAGGGAATAACATATGGTACAAAAATAAAATTGCAGCCAAATTAAAAATAAATGTAGACACGACGTGAATACATTAAATGACAATATCTAACCAACCTCTATATGTCTCAACTTGCACAAGTGTTTAAGCTAGACCAGGGGTTGGTAACCTGAGGCTTACGAACCACATGCGTCTTATTCGATGTTAACTTGCTGCTCTAAAGATGTATAAAAAAAACTGTCGAAACCTAATTAATCCTTAAATCGATATGTAGTTTAGTATCCTATGACATAAGGCGATCGGGATATTGACTATGTCTGAGAATAAAATATTAAAGGTCATTTATAAAATCTCAATTATAATATGAACAATATTAAAATGAAATCTGTAAACTGTGATATTTTGTAAAATTTCGTCCCGAAATGTTGTCGACCCCTGAACTAGACTAATTATTAAGACATAAACTAGACATAGAGGATGTTATTCTCCTATGTAAGATATCATGTACTGCCCATATCTACTTATAAGATAGAGTCCAGTATAATCTCAATTGATTGGAATAAATTGCTCTTTACCAATAAATATGCAAATTGAACTAGGTACTGTCTATTAATGTAATGCTAATTATTTTGCACAATAAAGTATTTATTCACTCATTCGTTATAGTAATAAATTTTCTAATAGTACCGTAATAGAAGCTGGATAAATAGACAAGTTTGAGCAGTTTTACAGAGAACTATGAAATAGATAACAACTCTCATTTTCTATGCTACTATTACAAAGGGGAAAGATTTGATTGTTGGTTTGTTTGCACTGAATAGGCTTTGAAACTATTGGACTGATTTTAAAAATTCTTTTACGTACGGAAAGCCACAGCATGGTCTTTACTTTAAGCGGGTAAAACATCTAGTAGTTCATAAATAAATATACCAAAAACACGAGAATTGTTTCTGAAAATCTTTGATATTAATAAGTAAGGAGGTAGTTGATTTTGTTTTGGCGGTGGTTTTATCTAATTTATGCATTTATTCTGAACGCTAATGCGTTGTGAATCAGAATATAATGGATTTCGGTAATATTTTATTTAAAAAATTAGTTACGATTCTATTTTTTACAATGATGTTGCTAAGCATTTTCCAAAAATTGTCTGCTCTTAAAAATAGAAATTAAAGTGTTTTCGTCCAACATTGTAAATATATAATACGCTAGCTTTAAAATTCGTACTTCATATCTCCTAAACAGGAGAATGAAACATATTACACTATAATGATAAATGACTGTTTTGTATCACTAAAAAAATGAGTTTAGAAATTCGATAATTTTAATCCAGTGAACGATATTCATTGTAAAATAAGATTTTATTAAACGACCTTATATTCCGAGAGTAGTTAATATGAATTACTTTATAAAGTCAATGACTTTTTACTCCACTTCAAACTTCGGTAACATGTACGGTAAGGTATATATAGATAGCAAGAATAGAAAAAGGATCAGAAATGAGAAAATTGGAATTTTCGCTTGTGTTAATGGCATAGTAAAAACTGACGACACTTTTAGATAGATAGGTATAAAATTTTATTTTCTACAGTAAAGTAAGTAATATACTTTTTGTGAGGTACGTCATCAACGTGAAACTTATTAACGGAACTGCCATAGAGGTTGTTCGTATATCATTTAGAAGAACAAAGAACGTACATCTGTTATAGTATTAACTATTCTAGAATTCATTGTTAACTTATACATTATAACCGTGACGAAAATTGTTATTTAAATTTAGATTAATAGAAGAAGAATAGAAATCCATTGTTTTTATCAAAATTATATTTTTTACGGAGCGCTTTCAGCGTCCTACTCGCTTTTTTTATAATAAAATCTTGTTTTTAATGAATAAATTTACAAGGTTTATAGGAAAATCTATACTTATAATAAAGTTAAACTCTTCAGCTTTTTTTAAACGTTTGTTTGAACTGTACAATCTCAGAACTACTGGAACGAATTGAATATTTTTTTTTTGTGTTGAATAGTCCATTTATCAAAGAAGGCTACATGCTATACCTATAACATCACGCTATAACTACGAGTAACAGAAGTGGAACAGCAATGAAAAATGTTGCAAAAAGTGGAGATTATTTTACTTTTTGAGAGCTTTCCTTGCATGTGTTGCGTAAACGGTGAAAGGTACGCAAAAATCATGTATTACGATATGTATTCCATTTCATCTTTTCTAAATCCATTATCAAATGATTTAAGCTGCTTACGCAAGGACTAAATAATTACAGGATTACGCTCCTGTACTTTTAAAAGAGGATTTTGATTTTTGTTTTTTGTTTTTATTTTTTCCGATTTTTATCAAACAAAGTAGCTTTCGTTCTCAATTTTGCGGTTTTTCTAAGATAATAATTTAATGGGGAATTATTAATTAGGCGAAATAATAAAATGTTACAATTAGCTATTTTCGCTAGATGACGTTACGATATTTTTAAAACGGCGTCTTGTTTTTTTTTTAATTTTTGTTTTTCTGGTCTTTATCAAACGAAATCGCTTTCATTTTGAATTTTACGTGTCACACTTTAGTTGGCTTGACAAAATTTCGTACAACTCCTTTGAAAACAACAATTTTTTAAAGTTTTTTTATAGATAATTTTTTTAACATAGGACGCGTCATATTTGCTTTTGATCTTGCACCAGTCCATTTGCATTCGCTTAGTTTTTTTTATATATATTTTAACGGCAAATTATTTATCTGATGACAAAATAATATATATGGGTGGCTATTGACGAGATACTTTAATAAATAACCGACGTGCGTTAAATTATGTTTGCCAAAAATGAAACTACTATAACTATATATAAATTTGGCGTGACGCACTAAAATCTCTGAAAATGCTGAATTGCGAAAGCTATGAAAATCAGGCGTAGAATCTTGCACAAGAAAACCATCAGGCTGTTTTAAACCGTTAAAATGAAAGCCTTTATTGTGAACTTTCACGAGTCAAGTAAAATATCGGCGTAATTATTATTAAACGACTTCAATAATAGGACTTTAATTTTCAAAGAAAACATTTGTTTGTATTTTATGCAAGGTCTGTCGATTCTACTGCGCACTAAAATATAAAGAAGAACAATTGGACTATTTTATAAAGACATGCGCGTTATCTACAGAAACAACTATTGGGCAGGCGTATGGCCCAGCAGTGAGGACGCTGGTCTAATGATGACGATATAAAGGTGAATGCTTACTGCCTGATTTTTAATTAAGATTAGCCTAACACTTCAGTATTACAGGCCAGTGCGCATACAGTACCCTCGAACCACGTGAGCGAAGCCGCGGGATACAGCTAGTCTATTTTTTTTAGTTGAAAATAAAATTATTTGTGTAAATTAATTAAATTTTGTTGTAATTTATTACCTATTTTTATGAATTGATGTTATTATTTTGCTGACTAGTCTATCGGTTTTTGGTACAAATTCTTTTAATAACGTAATTTAAAAGAAATTGATAAGGTGATCGATTAAGCTTTAAGATTATTATAATGAGGCATTATATACTGTTCAAGAAAGCTTAATAAATATTTACTTACCAAAGCGACCAAATCATTAGCAGCCAAAGATGTCAGAAGTAAGAGATGCTTTCTATTTCTGACTCTCCTCTCTCCCCAACGCAAAGCAATAATCGCAGTGGCGTTCCCCACAATCCCAATGGCGTATACCACTTTTATAACTGTAAACATCATTTTTGGGTCATGTCTGAGTGGTGCCACTTCAGTTGAATTGCTAATTTCGTCATCTGATAATAATATCGGGGCGAGTGTCATTATTGTGGGCGTTGCCATATTGAATTTTCGAAAATCGAACGTTTGTTTTTTCTCAGATCAGCTGCGGTGAAGAACGTTGACTAGTTCTGTTGCTCATCACATGTTTGTGTCATCTGTGAAAGAAGATGCAATTGAAAAAATATATATAAAATATAAATACATAGTCACAAACACAAATTGAATTTACTTGTAAATTTGTTTTAACCTTCGGATTTAAGCAAACAAACACTCGCAAACATTGACAATTAGTTTATTGAAATGTGACGTCACACGATGTTCCGTCATAGATGTGCACGTTTTGGTTTTTGTTTTCCACATATTATTAATCGCAAGTTAATTTTGCATAATAAAATATACTTATAATTTATTTTATTTGTTATATTAATTATATTTATCAGCTGTAGGTCTTTAGGTCTTCCTATATAATAAATAAATAAAAATAAAGCAAAAAACATTGCATAGTTATTGGTTACATAAAAGTTACCACTTTCAACTTATTTCATTACTTATTGTTATAAGTGTGAGAAATAAGAAAATAACATGTATTTAGATGGACAAATTTGAATTTTATACTTTTTCTCTATATAAAATCCTAATAAGAGTACTTAGGTATTGTTTCATAACTATTTCTTATACCTAAGTTATATTGTAAAAGAGCTTATGAAGCCGAAAGTCCTAAGTACATTTTAATGCTCTTTAATTGTTACGTAAAGTCAGAGATGGGTTTTTAATTAATTTCCACAATGAGATTTCTGATGTTAAGCGCTATTACGTTCGTAGAGTCACGTTTGAAATTATGAATACTTATTTCATTATTATTGCTAAGAAAATAAGGACAGAACATATTACGATCTTAAATAGACTAATTGACTTGACGACTTCAGTGGCCAAGTGTCTCACATGCTGTTTTCACGTGATGTCTAACTCTCCGGGGTTCGATTCCGGCAGACATAGATTTATGTGAAATAATGATTTAAAGGCAGGTCACAAGACGGGTGACAAAAATTTTTTTAGTTCCTCTGTGCTTGAGAAGGCACGTTAGGCCGTTGGTCGTGTTGGGCTGCATCTGGACTCGTTCACTCATCACACTGGGCCCCGTTTTTAGTTATGGCTCGTTTTCCATATTTGATTCTGTCTATAGGGAAGGTCTATGAGGACATTGATAGGCAGATGATGATGACTGTATCTCGCAATACAATATTGAACGTCGAGTGCTCGTTTCAATCCGATGACGTCAACAAAGACAAATAGGTTCAATATAATAAAAACCTTATTAACTCATGAAGTAGATTATATTTCATCGAACCTCTATGCTGTCTGTGTTTTTTTTTTTTTTTTCACTATGGACTTGTTCCGTTATACACGGAAATTTTGCCAACCTCCCGTAGTGAGAGAGACACGTGATTTAAGAGACTGAACGATAGTTTTAATAAAGAATTAGTTTTCCGTCAGCGGCTTCACCCGCGTGGGACTTAGAAAACGGTTTAGTGGGAAAAAAGTAACCAATATGCTAATCTGGCCTTAGAATTATCCGTATAGCAAAATATTATTTAAATTGTTCCTTAGTTTTTGCGTGAAGACGTAACAAACATCCAAACTTACAAACTTTCGTTTATAATATTATAAATGTAATCAAAGATTATTAAGATTGTATCACTGAGCAATGCATGCGATGATCAGGGTTGCCAGATTTTTTGCAGCTTGTAAGGAACTGATGCTTAAATATGGCGGAAAATATGGTACTTTCATATTTTAACTAGGATAAATTAAAAAAAAAGATTACTAATATATTTTTTCTTTTATATTTTTCAGACGAATACGTTCGATGAATGCGTTTAAATGCGCGCATGATTTGTAATATTTAAAAAATCAATACGATTATAAATATAGTTAAATATGGACATTAATTCGCCGTTTATTCCACCCACTTTAACAGAGTCGGTCCCGAAGGGACATTTTAACTTATACCTGAAATACGGGACGTCCCGTGAAACTCGGAACATCTGGCAACACTAGTGATAATATCTAAATTTTAGACGTGCCTGCACTATCTAGATATTGTTGAACAAAACAATTTGAATCGATTAATTGCTGTTTACATGTAGGATAAGTTCGATCTTTATAACGTAGCCGACTATCTCACTATTAGTAATTTATTAGATAAACAACTAAGATAAAAATTATATTAGTGAAGTAATAATGTTATAACAACGAATAGTGGCTATAACGTTTTGAGATAAGGTTCGATTGTAAAGTCTATTATTTATATCAATATTAGATATTGATATAAATAATAGTCAGCATCAATCAGACTATTAATGTCCTCATTACTGGAGCACCTATAGGTAGAATACTAATAAATAAGGAGAGTGGGCTATGTATGAGCCCAGAGCGGATTGATGGGTGTTAACGATGCAGATGTAGCCGGACCAACGGCTTTTACGTACCTTCCGAAGCACGGAGGAGCTAGTCAATATATTTTTGGTCACCCATAGTATGACCGGTCTTTGCCAATGTTGCTTAGCTTCAGAATCGCAGATCGGACGCGCTAACCACTGCGCCATCAAGCTTGTCGTTTATATAAATATAATCATATTAGACAACATTACATTTATATTAATCAAATTCCAAGTTAATAAGTACCCACAGAATTTGTTTAATGTAAATCGGATACAACGTAGTTACCACTACACTCAGACGTTAAAAAGTTAATTTTCCACACCAAACCCGGACCGCGTATCATACCCGGGACCACAGAGATAGCGAAAAAAATTGCGGTTCATATATACATGAAAATTATAATTCAATTTATTTATTTTTTTGTTGGGCCATCTTCACCACTTTTGTTTACCAAAAGGATAAACAAATTTCTTTTGTTTACCTTTTGATAAACAAAAGAAATTTGTAAATCATAAATTGGCGGAGAAAGTGTTAAATATATTATATCTGGCGATTTATCTATAATCGGTTACCCGAATATAGAACACCTCGGTTTTAATTTCGAAATCAGTAAAAAATAGGCCTATTCAATACTTCTTCACTTTATAATAATTGTACTTTTATTTAAAAAAAAAAAACATGCCCAAGTGAACAAACTCTTTATTACATTGACGATGTGTTTATGTTACTACGTTGTCATCTATCACACTCACCCTGCGATCTACTGAACTATATAAATAAATGGCCACTTACGTTCCGTCGCATTAGAAAAAAAATCAGTAAACATACGACTTTGTCTATGATTTGTTGCAATTCTTGGTAATATATTTAAATATTCTATACCTATACGTCCGGTTACTGAATCGATAATATCTCTACTGATTATTCTCAAACTTAAGTATTTTACTTTTCATAAGGCAAAGAGTCATAGTTTTATCAAACTGACTATCCACTGGTCATTGAAAAAACTAAAGTCAGAAACGAAAAACTGTTTAGGTGACGCTTAAGTACAGTTAGAGACGTGCTGTACTTTAAATTCTGAATTCAGAAACCGGGTGTCAGCCACGAGTAGAGATGAAACATTATAGTAATCTAACCGTATGATAAATAAGCTTCGCAGTATCTTTCTTTATTTTTGTCTATGCCGCTTACTTTTAGCTTATTATTATTTATATATATGCTATTTAATTAATAATATTTTGACGCTTATCAATTTAGACCAAACATGTATTTAAAACAGGGAGAAAAATCAGTCCTTGCTGAGTTTCTTGCCAATTCTTCTCAGTACAAGGTCTCCCGCCGTAGTTTTGCGAATCGATGGCATAGTTTCAGCTTTCACAAGTGGAAGCCTAGACTAAATATTGAATTTGAAATGACATAAGTTTACCTATAGCATATATTGTAAAGGCATGACATGTTGTCTATACAAATATTATGAAGAGCAAATATTCGTTTGTTTATTTGCACTGAAAAGGCTCTGAAACTACTGGACCGATTTTTTTAAAATTATTTCAGCTACGGAAAGAAAAATTATGCAAGGGTGACAAAGGGTTTAATTTTCGCGGGCGATGTCGCAAAGTCCCTTTTAGCATCCAAAGTGCGGAGCCTCATAAAATTATTAGAAACACATGTTTACCTACTTATTTTATGCGTATACGATTTTAGAGTTGTTACCAACATAATATAAGGTTCTTTGTTGGGAATAATTGGTTTTACAATTTCTTTGTTAATATGTACAGAATAAATCCATTCTCCTGAACGTTTATTTGATGTAAAAGCTCTAGATAGTTAGATAATGGAGGATTGAGACTAAAGAGAGCTTAAAGCTTAAATTTGCAAAACTTCACTGAAACGAGAAAGGGATTATTCAATATACTTTTAAAACTTTCGTTGGGTACTCTATTACTTAATAAATTAGTATCAGAATAACAATGAAAAGTGTTTCTAAGGAAGAAGAATATTATGGTGTCTGGTATCAATCTGGATAATCTCTTTGAGTAATTTGTACACATAGACACAGTCTTTATTTAATAAAATTCGTATAAATAAATGTATACATAATATATTTTCAATCTTTTTGGCGATGGAACCGTTTTGGGAATCATTTACACGTGGTCCTAAAATAAATAAAAATCTAGTTCCATCTATATATTATTTTTTTAATATAGGAGTAATATAGATAATATTATATAGATTTAATTTCTGTATGAGGTTATCTATATTAATATTTTAAAGTGGGAAATTTACATCACGGATAAAAATTAAAACGGGAAAGTTTCTAACTTTATTTCTTCGTGATCTTCGGAAGTACTGTTTTGATCATGAAAATTATTATACCTAGGGGACCTTCATTATCTATACATATATAAAAGGAGATGTCCTGACTTACTGACTGACAGACAACGCACAGCCTAAATCACTGGTCGTAGAAACTTGAAATTCGGAGGGAACATTCCCCTTAATACGTAGAGGTGTACTAAGAACGGATTTTGAAAATTCCACCCCGAAGGGGGTCAAAAAGGGTGAAGCGGTTTGTTTGAAAAATCTTGCTGCCCATATCGTGATGTGGCCTGGCCAGATCAATGAATGATTTGCGTTTAACGATATGGGCGGCTGATAGTATGACTTCTTCACGATGTGGCCAACCAGTAAGTGATCATATATAAATATCGAA